GAGGCATCCATTGAGAATCTTCATTCTCAATTTACCAAACTTGACATCAGGATTGAAGATCAAAGCACGATTCTTAATCAAAGGATGGACAACCTCGAGCGAGATACCAAAAGCTCTTTCCACACTCTACAATTGCAGATTAACCAACTTGCTCAACAAGTTATTATAGCAGGAAGTACCATGGTCATCACAACAGAAAGCAGAAGAGGAAATGAGGATCCCAAAGTTCCGGTGAACAAGAAGACCCCAGACATAATTGATGTACAAGACACGACTAGAAAGCTATTTGTGGGAGATAAAGATGACATATTTCATGTGTGGAGAGTACAACCCACTCTAGAAAATTTTTTGAAGGCCGAAGCCAATGTTCTCACACCTCCAAATGGTAGAAGAGACCTCTTTTTCATTCAAGAAGGATTCGCCAACAAGAAAGGAGGATATAATCGGGATACGCCAAAAAGGTACATTTTTGACCCAGGTGATATTCTTCTCAATATTGAAAATAATAGCTCAACATCGTCTCCTCCCCGCAAGATTTTAAAAGAGAGATCCTACTAGCTAAACATCTGCGGGAATTCAGTTGCACAAAAGAGGTATGTTCGTCCGGCCTATGACGTTAAACTAAGCGCTAATTGGGAGGCAACCCAACAAAAAAAAAACAAAAAAAAAACAAAAAAAAATCATGGATCTCAGCTCAAGTATCATGCATTTCCTTCTCTCAAAGACATCTCATTCCACTATTGAAGATTTCATCTTGCATTGCATTCTTCAATCTACATTGAGGACAATGTAAATCAAGTGTGGGGGGGTGAATAATTAGTTGAGAAACTTTTCTTTTCAAATTAAATTTTTTCTTGGAAGGTTAATTTTTTTGATATTATCTCTTTTAAGGATTTTGGTTGAGAAAGATTTTCTTTTACTCACGAAAATGTATTTTTAGATTAATTAAAATATTTATTAATCTTGAAACCACCACTTTCACTCAAATTTGTGACAATTTTCCAAATCCATACAAATGTGCATAGAGTGCAAATTCAAAATAAAAGTTTCATCCCAACTCCAAATCACTCTATTGTCAGATTCTCCTCATTTCTGACAATCTAGATATATAATTACGGAGAAAAAAAAAGAGTTTATATACAAAAGCAAAACAAAAACTCATGTTCTCCTAGAATAGCCTTCTCTACAAAATCAAGTTGTCAGTCCACAAAAAAAACACCGACATACCCACACATTGCCTAAATTGTCACAAAATAAACCCATCAAATGTTTAAATATTTTTCTTAATCTTAAATACATTTAATGTGAGTAATAGAAAAAGGTTTTTGGCCCAAGAAAGATTAAAGAGTTTATATCTAATTTTTAACATCTTATAAAACTTTTAATTTGCATGGTTTAGTTTCTTTTCTAATTGTGCATCATTACAAAGAAATTGTTTGAGGACAAGCAATGTCAAGTGTGGGGGGATTTGATAGCCGTTATATTTACTTGTGTTTAACATAAGTATAGATAAGTATTTGTTGAAGAAAAGAAGAGAAATTGGGAAAATATCTTGAGAATGAGAGTTAGAGCATAAACCATTGCGATGAAGAGCTTTTTGGACCAAGAGCATGATGTTCTGCCCATAGTTCGAGTATAACTTATTGTATAGAACTCGAAATCACTCGATTCAAATTTCATGTGAATTTTAACTCAATAAGGTAAAAATGTTATGAAGACGTCATGGCCAGAATATGAAAGGAACAAGACTCAATCAACAAATAAAGTCAGATGTTTGTGGTGGGATTTCAGGAGGTTTCTCAGTGTTTTATTCATAACGTTTGATTGGATGACTACAAAAACGTCATTAAAGTTTTGGTGGATAGAAGACTTCATTGTATACAACTTTTGTGAAGAAATCATATCCAAATTCATAGCAGAACATCCCCAAAATCCCGGTACAAAAATCGACACTTTTTGATCCATTTCGGAGGAAGAGAAATGAAGTACATTTTTGGGCGCAGCAACCGGCGCCGGTCAGTCTTGAACCGGCGCCGGTCGGAATGTTTTTTCTCGCACAATTGAGCCTGTTTTCAACCGGGCCGGTCATCTGACCAACTGGCGCCATTTGGGTCGGTTTTCTGCTAAAACACAGCATCGTGCAAGATTCTTGATGGGAAAACCCCATCTTCCTCAATGCTAATCAAATACTGCTTCCATACCTCATTGTTGGGTTCGAATAGACTAAAAGATGTCATTCTTTAGTCTATTTAAAGCCATCAATTCATCATACAAACATATTCCATTCCATAGACTAATTCCTAGTTTTTATATTTTGTTCTTGCTATTGTTCTTCAAGTTCTTTTGAGAAGGAGCCATTTTTCTCCTCTACAATTGGTTCTAGGTAATTTTTCTTGTATGTTATTATATTTCCTTGTTCTTAGTTACACTTTTGTAATTAATATGAGCATTAGTAGCTAAATTCTTAGCTAAGGCTAGGGATGAACTTCTATGCCCACTAGGTGTTTGATAAAAGTTGTAAACCAATAAATTGTGATTTATCCTTTATACATTGATTGTTTATGACTATGGTGTACAACATAGAAGTATGTTAAATTTAGTTTATACTTGCAATTAACGTTGAAGTCTAAACTATGAACATTAAAGGATAAACATATATAGTACCGAGAATAGAAATATATCCGGTCTTATATGATACGGGTGTGATGTTTTGATATTCAACGGGGTTTTCGGTAGTTGAATGTAAGTCGTAACGGGACTTACACGTAACGAAAACCACGCTCTCGCTGCCTTAACCGGAGTTGAGAATATATTAGCGACATCGTATTCATAATTGTTGGCAAAGAACTAATATTCAACCCTATTAAAGCATTTTAGTGATTCCCGAAGCCTTAGTTATTGTTATTATTCATCTTAAACTCAAAATTAGTTAACGATTATTTCCTTGAACAAAAAGTGAAAAACCAAAAATATAAAACACAAATCAAAATCCGTGCACTTTACTCATTTCTTCATTTAAAAGTTATCTTCTCACGGACTAAATTAAACAACGTTTCCTTGTGGATTCGACCCGGTATTTTACCGGAATTTATTACAATATCGGCACTTGTACACTTGTAAGTTTAGCCCGGTCAACACCCTTGGCATCCATGGTGAGCCAAATCTTTGAGACCATCAAGGATGAAGGGATGCTCGAAGTGCCGCCCGTCGCCAAAGGCCCATTGGGAAAGAACCTCAACGCCTACTGTGAATATCATCGCAAGGAAGGGCATAGCACGGATCACTGCAACAGCCTGAGGATGGCCATTGAAGGACTTATTCGGAGGGGCTACCTTGGAGAGTTCACAAGGGGACCGAACCCTCAGAACCAGAAACGGCCGGACAAGCACTCTAGTATTATAGCATTCATAGCAGTTCGTAGCACATCTGGGGACGAACGTCCTCACTTTGTAACAGTCGTAGCACAATTTAAATATGAACGGCCTCACGCCTAGCAAGGGGACGAACGGTCTCACGCCGTTTTAACCCCTCAGAGTTATACTGAAATTTCTTATTGGGCATCATATTACTTGTTTGACCTTTTTCTCTTAAAATACCCACTCGAAACTCTTAGGTTGTGTGTTGGGCCTACGGGTTGAAGGGAATAAACCTCAACAGGTTTTAAAAAATTCCAACTCTTATTCTAGAGATTGTAGATGGGCATAATTTATGGATTTGACATGCATTCTTTGGCATGGCTGGTACTAACAATGATGTTCATGCTCTAGATCGATCTCCCTTATTTGATAATATTGTTAATGATGTTGCTCCTTCTTGTGAGTTCATAGTAAATGGTCATCACTATAATATGAGCTATTAATTATCTGATGGGATCTATCCACCATATGCCACTTTGATTCAAACAATTTCACAAGCATTTTCTATGAAGGAAAAATTATTTGCAAAACGTCAGGAATCAGTACGTAAAGATGTGGAGCGAGCATTTGGAGTGTTACAAAGTCGGTGGCATATAGTTAAAGGACCAGCACATATGTGGAGTGCAACCGATTTGGGGAAAATAATGAAGACATGCATCATTTTGCATGATGTGATTATTGAAAATGAGTCTATCAAGGTATTAACCCTGAAAATCGGCAGCCAGACAAAGATGAAGTTCCTCAAAATGTGACTTTGGAGCATGATTTTACTTTTCTCATGTCAATGATGAGTACTTGAATGAAGCGAATACAAAGTAAATCGGCACATATACCCTTGAAGCACGATCTTATCTACCATTTGTGGGAAATATATGGCACCAATGAAGGTGATTGATTTTTTTAACATGGGGACCTCAATCGGTTCATTTAGGCTCAAATCTGAAGTCATCTTGGTATAGTACCATCTGATTTGATTTTGTATTAGGTGTTTTGATTGATATAAACTATAATAAATGTAAAACAATTGTATGTTAAGTTTTTTGTGATATGACACTTAAAGTTTTAGCTAGTTCGTTATCATTTATGTTATTTAGAAGGGTAGCTGCTTCATGATACACTATGCTTACACCCATTCTTTTATGGGAGATTTCCCAAAATATGAGTAAATGAAGTTTAAAATTCCAAAATAGGACTACTTTGTTTTTATTGCCGAAATGGGACTAACATGGCAGTATTTACTGTCATCTTGTAGCCGTGACTGCCAAATAGTTGTAGTACAGTGAATTTAATATGACAATATTTATTATAACTAATGACATTATTTTTCAACCATGACAGTATTTTTCATACATGACAGTATTAACTCCTATTTCGGGAAGAAAAATATACTAGTCCTATTTTTGGAATTCCAAGTGTCATTTGCTCCTATTTTGGGTAATTTCTCTTCTTTTATTACAATGTACTAATATTTAATTATGTGATTTCCAAAGTATGTGTGAAGTAAAAAATTAATCTTGCCTGCAATTAGTGCGGCAAGGATGCTGGCCGTTTTCTAACTTGTTGCTAGATTTTATGATTCATATATAAACAACTTATAATAGAAGCTTGAAAATCATTTAACTTGAAAAATGTAATCAAAACAATCACATAAAATAATCACCAACACAAGTTTGATTAACTAAACAAGATATAAAAACAACTTACTTACAAAAGTAGTACCAAATGAAATCAAACTAAAGACAATATCACTTAATACACAAATTTAGGAAAGGGCATCTCTCTCCCATTCTTTTAAAATCTCAGCCTGCATGATTTCAAAGGAAGTTCGCACTGGTTGTGATAACTTGCTTAGATCTTGATTCATAATATAATTATGAGCTCTCTCCTTTTTCTTCAACTTTTGAGCGTTCTCCTTTAGTTCGATTTCTTTTTTCATCACATGCTCTTTCAGCTGAAATTCTTTCTCATCATTCTCTTTTCTCAACCCCAAGCTTGTCATATTGAAACTAATTTCTTTATCCAATCTACATTGTACCTTCTCCTTTTGGCGGCGACAGATGGATTGTTAGTGTAGACGATTTAGAAGATTTAATCGGAGGGCATGTATGGTTAGGTTCAATTTGTATATTTGGTGTATTCAATGCATCAACAACACCCTTTTCTTCATTTAGCTTCCACTTTTTTCTTTACAAGCTTTTCTTCCTTGTGAGGGCACAACACCTTCCGCGTTAATGCCATCAGGGGGGACTTGGTCTTCGTAAGATTTATTGAGCACCATTTTGGATTCTTGACCAAGATTGTCCAACAGTGAAGAAATTAAAAATGACTCCCATAGAAATCCTTGTATAACTCCAACGCCTGCATCAACTAAAGAAAAAAGAAAAAGAATAGTTAATCCAAACTTACTTTAAAACTAAAGACAATATAGTACTCTTACCAAGTCTTCCGAATTTGTTCCACTTTTTGGATGTCTTTCTAGTTGTTCATATTTCCCGAGAAATTTGTCTACTGCACCTCGTATTTGGTGCCAATGGTATTGTATGCTATTATTATTCCTAGATTTCTTGTGATCGGGTCCCATTTTCTCCTTCCAGACTTCTAATATACGATTCCACATGTTGGACTTTTTTTATTAGTCCCCACATCAGCATCTGTGGATATATAAAACCAAGCTTCTGTTAAAGCAACCTCCTCTTCTGTAGTCTAGTTTTTCTTAGATGTTGCATTTTGAGAGAGATTTGGATCTTGAATGTCTTTAGCTCTCTTGTTTAATGCATTCACTGTCTCAAAGTTCTGAGTACCCATAGGGGTATTCAACATGTGCTGGAATGGAAATATAGGTCTATTATGTTGATCAATATGGACAACATATGCTCCAGTAGTTGGATCAAAGTGATACATACACTGCATCAGATTGTCCATTGGGTTAAATTGGTTCAAATTCTGGGATGGAATCGGTACGTAACGGGAAGATTGATTATCAGTAGTAAATGAAAGGTTAGCACGGTAGGTCCTCTGAATCCATGTATATGTAGCCTCATCCTTTTTGTGCATAAAAATAGAAAAGATATTATACATATAAATAGCACATTTGTAGAGAATAAAAAGAAGATGATGCGAGTATATTGTTAAAAGAAATGAACTTCTCATGTTTCAAAACTAGCCATAGAAGGATAGTTAATCCACAAATCAAATGATGTAAACCACCGTAAAGAATAGAAGGAACTTTGACCCCAAAATCAAATGATGTGCAGGGTGTTACATATGTAGACATACAATCTCGATTACAGTAGGTAAGAATTGCAAGTTCCACTTCAAAATTCAGCCTGCACATGTATTACTATAATAATTTAATTAATGCTTAATAGTAAAATCAAGAATGTGCGTGAACATTCCCTTCTAAATTCCTGACCAATGTGTACTAAACAACCAATAAACTACACATACCTAATGAATAGTGAATTACTTGCCAAATTAAATTAATAAATTTAGAGTAGCAAAAGGGTAACTAATAGAAGGAGATAAATAATCCAACTTGTCTTGAATTAAAAAATCACTACATAAATAAGAATACTAAGTTTTACTACGTAGTTAGTAACTAAGAAACTCATGAAATAGTATTAAAATTCAGAATATACCTTCTTACATCTCTATCTTGCTAAGATCTAGTATCTGATATAACTTATGATAACATCTAGAATTAGAATTATTCATAATACCTAAAATTGGACTAAATACATAAAACAAAACGAGGATAGCACTAAACAAATCAACCCAGCCTCTTTGTCATTTTATTTGCTAATGGAGGTTGTGAAAAAATCCTGAAAGGTTTAACGGGGAATCCGGACCGCCTGACATTCAGTCTCGCCTCAGGTGCAAATTTCGAGCCCCAATCTATTGAGGGAGAGACTCAATTATCTTAACAACCAAATTTATCTGAAATCCAATTCATAAATCACATAAAATGCACCGATACATTCACCATCTTCTTTGAGAAATTAAAAAAAACATTACCTCGTTTGTGAAGGTGGATAATACCAAATTAGAGAGCTAGAAGATTGTCCTTCCAAAAAGAGAAAAAATTATGTGTTGAGACGGCTGAGATACGAGAAAAAATCAGAAGGCTCTGAATTCCCAATTCAAGAATATAGGTTGGTAAGAATTGTGGCTATGGCTGAGACGGTGGCTTATATAGAATAATGGAGATAGATTGGGGCTATTTTTTAGGTAGTGATTGCACCATTTTTTCTCGCACATGAAACCCGCCTGTTTTCCTCACGATGAGCATTATTTTGCTGAGTCAGCCAGTTCAATCGGTTTTTCAGTTTAAGAAAAAAAAAGATACACCCCCTCCCTGAGGCCCCCCCAACCCGACCGGACGGTACATTGAAAGGATGTAAATTGGACTATAATCCCAATCTGACAGATAGAGAGTGAGGCTCTGTCCCCGTTACTTGCAGAGACCCTATGCATTTTTAGCATAGTAACCCCTCATCGCAGTTGCTGGGATTCGAACCAGGGACCTAACCCTTGTGTCACTCTCTTGCTACCAGTTGAGCTACGCCCACCTTAGTTTTTCAGTTTAAGAAAGTATAGTTCACGATGTCTACAACTATTTTGTACACCTCAATGCACGAAAGAGTCCATTGAAGCTGTAAAAAACCAATACTTTATAAAGTTGTGATGTGGCATGATTTTTTAAAATCCAAAGTGGAGCATTAGAGATGCTCTAGTAAAGGGCGTAAATGGGGAGAGAGAGGCGGGAAGGTGAGGGTTCTCACTTTAGGTATATAGGATTTATAGGGGTGTTTGAAAAGTTTGTATACCCTCCCTCCGTGTTCAGGGCACTCCCGTGAGATAGTGCAACCATGCTTTTACGTTGGACCATTTTCGGTTCACATCAGATTTGACCAGACTTAAACAAATCAGGTCAAATCAGACAAGACTTAAACATACCAACCCAAATCAGACCAGACCAGACTTCCGTAGTTATAAAGATGTTTGTACTTGGACTGTTTTCAGTCCTATACCAGGTCAGACCAGACCATATCAGACTAGACCAGACTTGGACAGTTATAAAATACATAGGGACCAAACATTTAACAGACTACATCAGAGCAGACCAATTCAGACTAGACTAGGTCAGACCAAACCAGACCAGCAAACTCCAGTCCAAGTAAAAACATCCTAAAATGCACAGAGATCAGACATTTACCAGATCAGACCAAATCGGAATTAAACAGACCTGACCTGATCTGACCAGCAAATTATAGTCCAAGTAAAAAGATCTCAAGTGTGCAACTATGGAAGTGTCCGCAGATTTTGGATAAATTCACGTTTATAAATAAACTAGTTTAGCAACGCGCGATGCACATTCGTGTAAATGCCCAAGACCATTTTAGGCATATTAACCGATGAGGTAAGCTAAAGTTAAAATTAGTTTAATTATCCGTTTATAATCTAAATCCCATAATTCTAATTAATCAAATTTCTACTCAATCATTTCAATAGTAATTAGTCCATCCATAATAGTCCATTATTTACATAATCCATTTTATTTTCGTTTGACTTATTATTATTATTATTATTATTATTATTATTATTATTAATTCAACCCAAATATTATCATTTTAACCTTTTTATTCATTTAGTTCATATGGCCCAAGTTTAAAGGCCTAGCACATCCAGTAAATAAAATAGGAATAGACGTATTGTCTTCCTCGTTGACCAAAGCAGGGGGAAACATGGGAGTGCAGCGGTTCCTTCACCCAATCACCCTCCTCTGTCGGCAATCGCATAGCAGACCGGCAAACAATGTGCAAGCAGTGCAGAACCGCAGGTGCTTCAGCGGGTCCTCCTTTAATTTGCCAATGTTAATAAATGGTGTACTGTGGAGTGATGGTGAGATGCTGGAACAAAGGAGGTGAAAGAAAAACTTTTACAACGACTTGAATTAAATGTAAAAGGACAATGGAATTTCTCCAATAAACAGAAGGACAGACGGAAGATGGGCTGTTTTAACATTTCCGTTAAAACGTAAAGTTAAAATAAGGTTAGATGTACAACAAAGTAAACATAAGGTATACAAGCTTAATGCATTAAAAAACACTAACATTTTTTATCACCATTACATCCCTGACAATATTCCCTCTTATAATATTGTAGAGATACTAGTTTCCTACGCGCGTTGAGCGATTGATTAAATGCCCAATGTGAATTATATATAATGCAAATTATCAGCACAGTGTATATTTCTTATAGACTAAAAAAGTTTGCATCAAGGAATCTTGTTAAACACTTTCTGAAACAAGTAAGCGAAAAGGGCGTTCAAGTTTTCAGGAAGAAGTGATGTAAACTACGGAGTAATTTTTAAGATTACATTGACATATTCTCTTAGATATATATTGTACAATAATAATATACAGTGATTACGTAGCATAAGTATGTTATTCAATGTGGTGCAAGCACACCGCGCAGTATAGTTTGACGGGATAAAAGGCTTCTTTCTTCCCTTTTAACTGCATAGTTGGATCTTTCAGAGACTTAGGGACAACAAAGTAGTCATACACGAGAAAAAATCATATGAGTTACTTATTTTTATAAGACAAGATATAAACTTTCAAAAGATAAATTTTTTGATGATAAAAAAGTAGGGGGATGAAATATTTCAGTTTAATAATTTCATCTAGCTTTATTTCATAGTGCATGGGGTTATGAACGACCACAGAGATGTGTAACCTTTCAACCTCTCGCACGCTAGCCTCCTCCACATGGTGTTGCATCTTTTTTAGATCTGATTTGTTCTCCTTCAACAAAATGAATTCAAGACATTGGACATAAGGCGAATAATACTTAATTGGTATGCAACTCCAAGAATTACTTTTATTACCTATATGTTGTTTACGTGGAACACTAAATGTTGTTTGATGTAACTCTTTCATAATAATACTTAATTGGTATGCAACTCCGCCACTACCTGACACATGAAAAAGATGAAGAGGAAGCGTGCTAGCGCTGGTATTTCCTCAGAGCCAGACGTTTCTCCGGGGCTAACTGAGACTATCTGCCTTAAACCCTTCATAATTGAATCCTTCGAAAGAGATGCGGAAGTAAAGTTACTCCGCTAGATCATACTAACGGGAGATGTTTGTTGACTAATAAGATAGAACAATGCCGTATGTGTGGTGTACATGTTGATAAAGCTACAGTGTTCCACGAAAAAAATTTTTGTACCCAAAATATCCTTACCATGATTCATGCTATTAATTTTGTAGCTATTGAAGCTCTTTATCATATAGGTTTATCTAAATGTTGTTATAAAAGATGTAAATATGTATAAGTAACATATTAAAAATATTAATATGAATAATTTATCTTTGGTGTAATTTAATATTACCTCTATTACCTTTGTTCCGTTGAAAGGTTCTCATGATAAAATGACACAGTTATTTAGACAATAGCTAACTACGGTAATTTGAGCATACTTTGAGAAATAATTTTAATATGTATATAAAATAATGAAGTTAGTGTTGATAACTGTGATGTTAGAAATAAATTGTTTTTTTTATATTTAATTATTAGTTTTTCATCTAACATTATTAATTATTTCTTAAAATATAAATGAGAACCTTTATACAGGACGTCCAAAAAAGAAACGTAGGAACCTTGCTATGGGACAAAGAGAGTACTTTACAATGTAAATGATAACATGATGAATAATATAAATAAAAGAAAAGTGTCAAATAAGTTTATTTACTTTTATTAAAAGATTAATTGCATTTGTGTACTTTTTAATGGATCAATCAAGTGTCAAAAAAAATCAAATCGGCTCTTTACCACGTAAACAACTTGTTTCCCAAACGCTAGATATGTTGAAAATGTATGTCGCGTGTATCAAATATGTATAAATATAAATATAGTATTTGAATCACGTAGTTTACATATAAATACTACATATTTCGTAATGCGTAAAAATGATATGGCAATTAGGTGTACTAGAAAAACCATTTATTTCGATATCATGAATGGAGATGCTCTTAGTACAAAATTAGACATTAAATGCAATATATTTCTAGCAATTCATTGCGTTACGAAATGTCACAGTGTTTCTACGAAGAACCACAAAAAAATCACTATTTTTAAAAAGACACTATTTTCCATCACACAATCTCTTAAGAAAGAGAAAAATTGGAAATCTAATATTTTTGGAATGTTAACTATTTGGGGAAACGAGTTTCCCAATGGGAAACGGCCCCGAAATGGGAATTTTGAAGTATTCAGAGTTCTGAAACGCTTGTGAGTTTCCGAAGCGGGGAAACATGAGGGGCAGAGAGTTTTGTGCTTCATATTTCTTCACCTGCATCCATATGCTAAGGAAATTTGGTACAAAGTAAATATGGAGGATTTGTTGTTAATTTCGGATGATCCAAAATATTAAATTGGTTGGGTATTTATAGAGAGTAGTGTTGGATTCGGTTCGGGCCACCCGGCCCGTGACCCGGCCCGACCCGGTACTGTGCGGGCCCGGGACCGGACCGGCCCGGTACTGTGCGGGCCCGGGACCGGCCCGGTACTGTGCGGGCCCGGGACCGGCCCGGTCGGGCGGTCCGGGACCGGGTATGGGCCCGAACCGGGGGGAAGGGGCGGGGCGGGCTCGGTTCAGCATTTTTGTGACCCGGCCCGGCCGGGTCGGGCCCGGGTCCGGGTCCGGGTCTATTTTAAAAAAAAAAAATTTTTTTGATTTTTGGCTACTAGCCGTTGAGGCCTTGGGGGTGGGGCTGGGGACAACCCAAACGGCTATATAGCCGTTGGGTGGGGTAAAGGGGGGGTTCGGGGGGGGTGGGGGGGTGGGGGGTAAAAAAACCTATAAATACTCCTACTCTTAAACATTTTTTCATATCTCTTCTCCAATTCTTCCTAAATTCATTCTTAACTCTCTACTCTCTAATTCTCTTATTCTCCAATATATTATATATCTACTCTCTAATTCTCTTCTCCAAGAAGTTAAGATGGAAAATCAAAATGCCATTATACGGTATAATTTTGATAAGCAGAAGGACCCGAAGACCGGGATGTGGTACGCAATTTGCAAATGGTGCGAAAAAAAAATGTATTATGGGGGCTTCAGGCGGATTCGGGAATGCAATCAAGCATATGAAGTCATGTGACAAAGGTCACAAAGCCAAAGGATCGGGAGGTGCGGGAAGTTCCGATTGATTACAATTTTCAAAATGTTTCTCTTAAAGTTTGTTTTAATTTTCAAATGTAGTTCCTATTTCATTTCAAATAAATGCAATTGAAGTTTGTTTTTAATACTCTTATAAAACTATAAACTATAAAATATAAAATATAAATTATAAAAAAAAAAAATTAACCGACCCGGCCCGAACCGGACCCGACCCGTGACCCGGGCGGGTGGCCCGGCCCGAACCGGACCCGTCCAACCCTCGGGCCGGTCCCGGGCCCACTGTTCTTGAACCGGCGGCCCGACCGGGCCTAGGCCCGGCCCGAATCCATCCCTAATAGAGAGTTTTGACCAGGATTCTCTAACTCAAAAGACATCTCTTAAAAGAAATATCATAATCTTTCTTTCAAGGAGAGGGGTTGTGTCTTTTCTCTTTAATGGACTCATACGAAAAATAAAAAACGCAGCAAAAATATAATCTCTAGCCTGTGGACGGTAGAACAATCAGAATTAATCGGTCAAAGACCCGAACCTGAACCGACCAGCCGGACAACGGCGGCGCACGTGAAGAATGAATTCCACGGCTTACCCGTATATGGGGTCTCACCGCATAGTAAACACAAAACTTCAGTGCCCTAATGGTCCAGCCATACAGCTAAAGAAAGCTTATGAAAAGACACTTCCTTACCTCTTCATTTCTGGTGTGGGGCAAAGTCCTTTCCAAAACTGGAATTGAGCGAAATTCGTGAAACACTTTCTCATCCATATCTAAGTGATTTTGCACATTTCAATATACGGTTGTGTTCACTAGCTTTTTGAATCACTATACATTAGGATTTGGTCCTACCATAACGAATTGTGGATCCCTTATATGCGACTTACATTAAAGTAAACCCATTTTTTGAATAAGGTGAACCATGATGTATAACAAAATTCATGGGGTTTCACCATCCCAACTCCCAAGTATGAGTATAGGCGCAGCTAGGGTTTCTTGATCCTCGTTTGCGAAAGTTTGGGGTCGGCGAATTACCTTCACTCGATGTTGGACGGTGTAGGAAGTGTTATGACATCAAGAATAGGAGCAGCAGAGACCAACTCCAAAATCGTTTGGGCTCAAGCGACGATGAGGTGCTTGTCCTCGAAGGTGCAGGGAGTTTTCGACAGAGGCTTTCTTCAGTGAACAGTTTGAAAAGCGTAGGCCATATGAAGATGACAGACATGAACGAGTTTAGGGAGATAGACAGGTTAGCAAACGCGTGTGGCAGCATGGAGATGGAGGAAGAAGATGAATTTCTACACATGGAGGCTAAGACTTTAGGGATCGAGAAAGTATGGTTGACATTGGTAGGAACTGTTGGAGATATTTAATTGTGAATCAAGTTGGTCATAGATTAGCTTTATATTTAATCCTTGTATTTAAATAGTGCATAAATTAGATAGGAATCAGGCCAAGTGTTAGGCCCATTTAAACAGGCCAAAAGCCTGGTACGCCTAACCTAAACCTCGCCTATAAAAAGGGAGCCGAGGTTTAGGAAAAGGTTGAACGTCGTACTTATTATTCATAGCCTTACGCTTATATCATTCTGCTGTACGTTCCACGGTTTATCAAAGAAGGTTTTACGGTGATTCATTCTGTGTTCATCTTTACGTTTAATCTTCCTTGTTAGATCGATTATTCATTGCTGTTGCAGAAACAAGGACTAACAATTGGTATCAGAGCCGATCGAGAACGATCAGAAGAACTCCTGCAGAATACTCTGTTTTTGTTAACGTAGTTCATTCTGTCGATTTTTTGCTCTGTAATTTTGTTTCTTGTTCAAAAGTTGTAAAAGTTACACCTTTGGAATCGCCTTTTCAAAGCGAACAAAGGGTATACTTCAGTTTGTGTTTTACGCATTTTTGGATTTCGAGATATCTCGAGCTAGGCATCTCGACATCCTACTTCTTCACAGGTTCTGCTACGTTTTTCGAGCTGAAAACTTTACCAGAAGATCTCGACATTCAACTCTACAGGAAACTATCTTCAGATTTTGTTTATCTGATTTTTACAGGTTGCAGGATTTCGACATTTAGGATTTCGACATCTAGGATTTCGAAATCTTGATTTCGAGAAAAGGACTCGACATCTGGTCTCGACATTTGACTCATCAGATTAAGATTTCGAGAGATTAACTTCTCGATATTTCAAATCTCGAGATCAGCATCTCGAAATTTGAAATCTCGAGATCCCTAATCTCGAGATCCTTAATCTCGAGCCCAAATCTCGATACCGGGCCTCCTTTATCGAAATCTGAGATTTCGATATTCAGATCTCGACATCTGATTTTTCGAGATTCTGCCTCTGAAAATCTTTTGATCAATTTTCTCGAACGGTCAGTTTAGTACAGCAATGGGTTCAGAATACAATGCACAAGGGAACAGCAGTACCCCTCCTAGCCTCAGGAAGGGAGAATATCAAATGTGGAGGAACAGATTTCTAAACTTCCTCGAGCACAAAGAGAACTCTTCTGCAATGCTCGAATCTCTGCTTGAAGGACCAGCTGAACTCTTGATTTCAGTTGGTGGAGATCCAGAGAACAATCCTCCTATTTTTCCAGAAATAAGGAGAAAAGTGCCGTCTGAATATACAGAAGCCGACAAGCTCAGACTTCGTGGTGATCTTATGGCCAAAACGTACCTCCTTCAAGCAATACCGAACGAGGTTTATGTTCTCATAGATAGCATGCAGACAGCTAAGGAGATGTGGGATGAAATTGAGAAGCTGTTACAAGGCACAAGCATCAGCCTCAAAACAAAGAAGACTACGATTCTCATCGCTTATGACTCCTTCAAAGCAGGTCCAGGAGAACCATTGAATGAGACTTACAACAGACTTGTTCAACTGGTAAATGAACTCAGAAAGATCAAAGTATTCAGGTCCAATCTGGAACTGAATATTAGATTTTTATCTAGCCTACATCCTGCAT